ACAATATCGCTCACAGTAATGTGCAAAAATTCCGTGAATGTTGCGGAATGCCGGGTATTCCGCGGAATTCCGCGACATTCGCGAAAATTTTTCACATTTTGTGAGCGGTATTGTACTTTTCCTTTGACAGCCCCATAAACATTGCTAATTTTCCCACTCCACGTCTTGCTCTCCTTTAATCTCCACAGAAGTGAAGATGGATTAAAGATGGATTTTGGCGTGAAGATGGGTTTTTTTCAGGATTTATCCAATTCCATGCAAAAAAGTTGTATATAGAGAGTACCAAGGTGCAAAACTGTTGGAAACTAATTAGGAAATACTTTGAGATTCTGTTTTTTTCAAAGAGAACAAGACCTTTTCATGTCTACTGCTTGACGCCTGAATTTGACCTATAAAAGATGGTGAAGTTGCGGGGAAGACTACTGAACTAGCAATTAAAAGTGTTATATTTGCATTCTCGCGCTTCGGGACCCACCGCGGTTTCCCTATGTCTGATGTTTTTTCAATTGGCGATGCTTTTCTTATATATTAAACTAGTGGCTAGTATACTTGGGTCCGAATCGAATAGAAATTCGATCATTCGAATAAAACATTCGAATATATTCGTATTCGAAATTCGATATTCGGAGTTCTTCCATTTTCGAATAATATTCGAAACTCGAATAATTGAGAAAACGGGGTTTCGAATAAAAATCGAAACTCGAATAATCAAAAAACAGGGTTTCGAATAAAATTCGAAAACTCGAATAATCAAAAAACGAGGTTTCGAATATTATTCGAAAACTCGAATAATCAAAAAACGGGGTTTCGAATAGATTTTATTCGAATGTTTTATTCGAATGTTTATTCGAAATCGTATTCGAATGTACTCCGTATTCAGATTATTCGACTTTGTTGCAGAGCCAACTGCTAAGTATCAAGCTCACTTCGTCCGCGTTTTTTTCGCAAAACTCGGTAATGCATCTTTTGCAACCGGTATACCTTTGAACTGTATGGAGAGTCGCATTCTTCCGACTGCTTGCGACAGTAAAAAATCAGATGTGGATTTTAATTGATGTTTTTTCGATCAATGAGATTGTTCGCACTGTATTGGCACCAAATCAGCAAAGAAGATATCAAATTCAAGCTCATGTTCCGAGCTCATACTGAATTGAAATGGCTGTTCTTCTTTCTTTGCATGCTCATGCTTGCGGTACGCAAAGCCCACAGTAGTGAGCACTCTTGCTCGCATAAATTATTGCAAAACTGCCTAATCGTTACTTTGGAGTTTTTTGCGAATTGGTGTATACTGTAAAGGACATCGCAATTGTAGTGCAGGATTAGACGGTTTAGATCGCCGTACGCGATTTGCCAGTTACGAGATGTCTTCAGATGTAATGGCAGCTTACCACAAATGTTTAGCGTGTACAACATACTAAAATGATAAATGCCCTGCATTCTGTACTTTCAGAATAGTTTTTGGACAATTTGAGTGTTGCCATATCACGTCGCCACTGAAATGCCTGCAGTATGCCCAGGGTTGTAGGGGCATTCGTGCTCGCTTCGCGGAGGAAACCACATGTCTTCGTCCACGACTAGCTTATACCATACAAGACGAAAGTCTCCGATGAACAAAAAAAACCTTGAGCTACGAGGTTGGGAGTTGGTACAAGGGGGTAAGTGAGGGTGCTGATTATGAACAAAAATTTACTTTATCGATTCTCATCGATTTTTGGAAAATCTTGAGCTACGAGGTTGGAAGTTGGTACAAAGGGGTAAGTGAGGGTGCTGATTGCAACCGAAATCTATTTTATTGATTATAGCAATCTTTGGAAAATTTTGAGCTAGGAGTTGGTATAGGGGATACTAGGGGGCTGATTATGATTGGATCGACTTTAGCCAGATATGTCGGCAAGTTTGAGATGTGATTGCTTTAGTTATTCGATAAATCATTCGAATATTTATTCGAAATTCGACTTCCAATGTTCGAATATATTCGATATTCATTCATTCGATATTTTTGATTTTCCGAATTTAATCGAAATTCATTCATTCGATATTTTTGATTTTCCGAATTTATTCGATATTCGTTTATTCGAGATTTTTTATTTTCGAATTTATTCGATATTCGTTTATTCGAGATTTTTCCTTTTCGAATTTATTCGATATTCATTCATTCGATGAAAAATTATCGAATTACCCAAGTATAGTGGCTAGTGAACCAGTAATCTAAAGGCGCTATGTGCAAGAGCGATCGCTTCGGGACCCGCGCGTTTTCCCGCTATCTAATGATTTTTGATGCGCCTACGATTCTTTATGTGTTAGATTGTGATTGTTGAGGATCAAAGTAGATTTAATAGCGTATTTTTTGAACATTTTTTCCAAATATGTCTGAATTGCGAAACAGCGCAAGACGTTAAATGGTCACAAGAGGCAGACTTTCGCCATTAGCACCATAAATTCGATAATAATGCTCTCATACATAAAAATTTTAACATATTGACGGCAACGTGACTCACATGATGATTCATGCAATGCCTGCCACTAGGGACAATGTGACCCACATGTTGGGTCATGACTTAAATTTTATTAAAAAGACTGCTATTTTAGAATATAATCGTTTCAGAAGTTCTTCTACGCTCTAAACCTACGAATTATTTTTGTGTTTCTCGCCTGCTTCATAGAATTACTGTAGGTGTACTGTAATTGACGATCTGTATAATTTTAACTAAAAAGTTTTCGATTTGTTCGTGGTAGGCAAGACAAGTGTCCCAAGAGGCAGACAACTAAAAACGCACGTTGTCGTCGACGCGTTGAAAATCAGGCAATCTCAGGCACCTATTTTTTCTACCCCTAGCATGGTTGATGACCCTATAGCCCTAACCTTTATGAAGACAGCAATGAGCAAGAATTAGCCGAGACACTGATGCAGCGCTCTTGGATGACTCAATTTTCATAGCGTGCCCGACATATATCTTGTGACAGAGAAAGTGCAAATGCACGACGTTATGAGCCTCTACATTGTTTGTCAAGTTGAACTCTAAATTACACGTCTCATAACCCGACACTCTTCATTTTTTCGCCCGCACTTCGAAACAAAAGCAAGACGCTTCAAGCTCAGACACCGAAAGTGCTTGAGTTCCGTCGTATTTGCATTGTCAATGGATTGCGGTGAATCTCAAGAGTGAACAGTGGCAGTAAAGCGGCACTGTCGAGATCTGACCCTCTTGAAAAAATGTACTGGGGCTGGTATACTTTTTTCCTCGTTTCTCTCTCCCCCCCCCCCCTCCTCTACCTCTTCTACCTCATCACGGCAGCTGCACGAAGTAAGACGTGCCGGCAGGAGGCAAAACAGTCTTTACACTAACTCTTGAAAGCCCCTCGGGGATCGATCGAAGCACAAATGCTCTAGCCGGGAGAGGGGGGGGGGAGAGAGAAGGATGACTAGCACAAGTTTATAAACTGGTAACCCATAGTAATCGATAGTTTTCTTGTTATAATACTAACGGGGAAGAGAAAATAATTGGATAAGCTCAAAGGGTAAAGCTTTGGGTTTGGGTAAATTGCGATTAATGGCGTCACCCGAGCGATTCGAGCCAGAATAAATGAGCATAAATATGGTTAGAAATGCATATCGAAATGCGCAGCACGTAGATCGAGGGTTTAAAACAACTATCGCTTGCTAAAAATATTCTCTGGACTAGAAAAATTTTTTTAAAGTTCTGATAGGGTAATGGTTACGACGTAGTGGTCAAAAAATTTTGCCAACAGAAAAAAATTCACAATTTTTTGAACGTCTTTAGCAAAATTAAGTTCAAACATTCAAAATCCTTCCCTTTAGCTGTCACTCTCGCATCAAAACGATTTCGAAAAACTTCTCTCAGAAATCGTAAAGAAAATTTTACAACAAGAATTTGCAGCTGTGCTTGTCAATTTCACCTCAGTGCATTTGTAACGAATTTTCAAGAGTTTTTTACCGCATTTTTCCAGTGTAAGGCCGAAGAATGTGTTGTGTGAAGTATTGAAACAATGAAGATGAGAGATCTGTATAATTTCTCTTCTAACTTTGTAGTAAAGCGCGCAGATACCAGCTAACAAAACCACATGATAATTCTTCGATTACTTGATATCCATGAGTTGAAACGGAAAAAATTGGACAGAATTTTCCGAGCGATTGATTTCACGATCAAAACTGGTAAAAACTGCACAAAAATCCTCCTTTGTCTGCTTGATAATTGTGGGTTGAAGTGGAAAATAACGAAAACGAACAAGCCCTTTCCTCTTCCTTGATATGAATTGGTTGAAACGGGAAAATATACAAAAATCTTTTTCCATGAGTTGAAATGGGAAAAACAAGCATTAAGTGGATGTGCATACAAAGTTTCAACTATGATTAAAATTAAAAAGCTGCACAGTCTGGACAAATAAAATTTTCAATAAATGACGAAAAAGAAAAAATGCAGTGAAAATTACCTTCAAAAGCTGCATTTAAAGAAGGAGGACAGAAAAAGGTTGTTAGAGAAGAACAGGATCATGGAGGTCTGTTTTTTTTTCTTACAAAAATTAGCCATTTTGAAATGGCAAAATTGGAAAAAGCGGAAAAATCTCACAAAAACCTTACAAATAATTTTGTAAAGTAAAATCATGTTTCAAACCCCCCCCCCCCCCTCTGCTCCTTCCCTAACTATCTAGTCCAAGCTGTTGCGTCTATATAATCACCAATATCGAACCAGTAAACCTCACACCTCCCTCCTCACGGATGTATCCGTGGAAACCCCTAAGCTGGATATTTGCCGTAGAGCACAAATTTCTTTCGTTCACCGAACACGAGAGGGAAAATTCCAAGCTATTACAATGAATTGTCTCGACAGTGTGAGCGGAACAGCTGTTACAGTTAACAAGAACGATACGAGAGAAGAATGTTGCAATGAGGAATATTTTGAGGCAACATGAGAAGAGGAAAAAGAAGAAAATGAGGAAAATGAGGTATTAAACCTCATCTAAGTCCTTTAAAAACATACCTGCAAAGTTTGCTGCCACAAATCTACACGTTCGGTTTCGTGGTCGGCGGCTGGTGGCGGCTCCTCATCGTCCGCCGACGACATCATACTTTGTAATGCTAAAAATGAAAAATTTTGGATATATTGGATTTGAAAAGTTAGAGGGGGGGGGGGAAGGGTAAAAATTCAAATTTTCTTACACCCCAACAAAATACGAAAAAATATGCTAATAATCACAGTTTGAGGGATATTTTCTCAATTTATAGATTTTTTCCGATTTTCCCGTTTCATCTTCTTTACAAAAAGTCGCTTGTGTCAAACATCAGAGTCAAGAGTGATTTTTTACAAAACAGGGGATTTTTCCTTCTTTCCGTGCAATCACGTACAAAAAACAATATGTGTCGAGTACCAAATTTTTCATTCTTTTCCCGTTTCATCATGTCTATAACAAAAAAAGTATGTGTGACGAAATACAAAATATGTCGACTATGTACAGCACTAAGTTTTCTATAAAACGAAAGATTCCACAATTTTTCAAGTCTTATCATGTTTATCAGGATATGCCCAAAAAGTGCTGATTTTGTAATAAAAAGTTTCTCGATTTTTCCGTTCTACTGTGTCTATAAAAAATACGCAAGATATACTGAACATCACAAAAAAGTGGAGGTTTACACGAAATGAAAAGTTTTTCAAAATTTTCCCGTTTCAACACATCTATATAAAAAAACGAAACACACTGCATAACGGTGGGATGCGGAAAAAAATGTAAGAATTTTTGGATTTTTTATTACATATGGACGAGCTGGATCCTAATTCCCAAACGAATATCTTTCCCGGACATTTGTCAAGAATGGAGATTGACTAAGAAAAAAATTAGCTTTTAAACATATGATCTAATCATTTTCAATTCCCAGAAAACCATACGAGCACCTCTCCACAAGCTCTTAGCCATTTGTAATGAATCTCATGAGAATTCCACAAAGACTAGACAGATTTCCAAAAAGTTTGCAGGAAATTGCCGCACATATAAACACACCAAACTTACTTGTCATGTTGCGGGCGGCATTTGAGGATCAAGGGTTTAGAAAATAAGGGGGTAGCGGGAATTGGGTGGGGATAGGGGAGAGAGAGAGGGAGAGAGGGTCAGAGTGAGGAGAGAGGGAGGAAGAAAGCGCGCTCTCTCGTTTCTCCCGGATCGATAAGTGGCCCGAGAGCTAGCTAAGCTAACCGAGCCACGGACTCCGCCCTCGCATCCCCCCACAGACACACGCACCGACGACGATGCCGCGAGCCGGGGGGTGATGATGACGATCCCTGTTCCCCCCCCCCCCGCTCTTCTCTCCGGGGCACGATTGTCCTTGCGCCCGGGTGCGTTCGGAGTGAACTAGCCAGCACAAGACGGTTTCGTGACTGTCCACACAGTTTTTATGGGAAAACAGGAAGGATAAGTGCATGTGCAGTCATGTACGTATTTACACAAACTCCCTGTATGGCCGACGCGTCGCGCCAAAAGCAAAAAAATTTCAACTGAGATCTCGCAAAATAATAAGTTGACAGAGCCAAAAATTCAAAAAAAATTTGCTGAAGTTTGTCATAATGAACATGATCAAATAAAAACGCTCTATTTTTGTTTACTAAAGCTCGAAATGTTCCCCTTCTACCGCGCATAGGATACTGTAGTTTTCGTATAACAAGAGGATTTTGCTCCAGGAAAGCCTCGTTCTAGATAAGGGTTATCTCTTCTAAACAATGAACAGGCAAAAAATTATTTCAGAATATTGCAAATCTTGCGCTAAAAACTTTAGCAAACAAAAAAAAAAATTCTGGTGATGCGAAAAAACGGCCACGGGGTCAACAAATTCATACAAATTTTTAGAAGAAAAATACAAAACATATGACGATACCGCGTGATTTGCTTTGTAATTTGAATCTCATATAGAAAAAGCACTTATATTTCATAGGAAGGTTCACAGAAGGCGTAACAGCCACAACATTTTCTTTAATTAAAGGAAAGAAATAGTAAACTCTGAGCACTGTTTTTCGTTATCGTACAAATACCTGAAGGGAAAATGCGCGGAAGTAATTTTTTTTGAAGGAAGGAATATGGCCTGTGCGGAATTCTCTCGCAAAGATCTGAGTTTTCACGAAAATCAAACAAATGCTTCAATTACTGACAAATAAAACAACTTATCTCTGTAAAATCATCATTCATCATTATACTTTCAAAAATAACGCTGTTCCCCCACCTTCCCTTTCCTTCTTCTCTATATCGTCCCCCCCCCCCCCCCGCACTTTGCATTATATCATCCTCCTCCCCCCCGCACTTTGCAATTTCTCAAGAAGTACATCACCAACAGAGTCCGTTGTAAAATGAGAATCAGCTCAACTTTGCTCTTTTTCTCAGCTCAGATTTCGTGAATATGAGATGAATAATATCTTCTAGCTCATTGGGGGAAGGGCATGGAATTTTCGATAGGGTTCCTGTTTGTATGGATTTTCAGAAGTCTGACATTTCAGAATTACATGCATAACAAAACAAAAAATTCATCAGTATTCTGCTCAAGACAGCTATTTTACAGTTATTTTATTAGTTCCTAGACTTTGCTGAACATTTAGTGGAGTTTATAGATTTTTTTACCTAACTTGGAGTACGACTGACAAGGGTTAAGATTCTAGCAATGTTTTTAAAATAAGAATTTTTATCCCCTTCATGGAAATAGCAGTGAAAATGAAATTTGAGAAATACTCGACCACAATTGCATGATAAACATCTGAACGTATAAATAAGTAGTTAATTGCTCACACTTACCAACTTCAATAAACCAGGATGTATATCAGAATAAAATAATTTTTACTAGAAAAGTCCCTTGTAATGACAGGTAGCGCGGGACTGAAGTCATCGGTAAGATTAACAAGATTTGCAACCAACTTTGCAATACATTGACAGGACAAAAGAATGAGGTGCGAATTCCTGCTGAACATCAAAATTTTACGACCTTCATGATGAGCACCAGCTGCAGCTGTCGAACTCGATATATTTCTCCACAATGTTGAAATCTGCTGCTGTTCCAGCTATAAGCAAAGAGAAAGGAATTTCAAAGTCATTTTGGTTAGTGGTGGTTAACCCTTTGGTTGATCAAATATGACGATTTTGGATGAATTGCTCAGTTCAGGTAAGTACCATATGAGCAGTTGTTTACCTACTTCAAATGTGGGGGTTTAAATCTCTTCCAAACATCTCAAATTTAGGGTTTTTGTAAGAAATATGTATCTGAGACAGTGTTCTAGCCTGAACTTTGCCTAAACGGCTGCCACATTTACTTTCGATATCAAATACGGTATTACATGACGCTAAAAAAGCGAATTCGTCTGCGAGCTGATGCTGCTTGGGCGGCGTCTAGAGTTGCCCGTGCCGGTGTGTCAGCGCCGTACTGGCGCCGTGCCGGAACTTCTGTGCATGTGTCCTATCGATTGATCAACATTCTGGCACGAAGCTGGAACGACGAGCATAGCGCAGCGCTATTAGCGCTCCCCATTTTTTTTTCATTTTTTAACCTTATGACTCACAATGGAACGGTAAGATAATGTTTTGAGAAAATTCATAGCGTGGCTCCAAAGCTTCTCAAAAAGGTTGCTGGGAACTGTTTAGAAAACGATCGAACGATAGGGCTACGGTTATTGATTATCGTAAGAAATTGTACTGGTGAATTCTTTTACGTTTTAAATTTGAAATGATAGTATTTTGATTGATATGGTCTTACGGTAAGGTTACGCTCTTCGGGCATACTTCGCGATTTCAGTCGCGACGCAATTTGGCAATTCGCCAGAAGTCTTCAGATCCAACACTAGGATACAACACATGCATGGTGTGTATAACTTACGTGAATTGATAAAATGCCCTATCTTCTGTACATTTAAAACGTCCTTACAGTGAGTTATGAACAGCTGGAATATTGCCAAATCGCGTCGCGACTGATCGCATGTAGTATGCCCTGCCCTTTACGCTTATTTTAGATTCAAGCAACTAGTAATTCTGTCGCAACTTACTTGTAGTACTAGAATCCGCATTGATTTGATAATTCATGGTTTTTAAACACAGTTGAAAAGACAAATCTAGAGAAGCTTCCATATCCTAGAAATAATGTTTGTTTCTACAGCGTTTCATCGGAGTTTCCCTAGAAGGCTGACAGTAAGCAGTAATGCACTAGATGTTCTGCATGAAAGAGAACCAGCAATTTGATAATAAAACTTCAAGTATGACAGAAAAGCTTGCTGGGAAGTTCCACGAAAAGTGAAAGCGCCTGGACATAGGCCATCGATGAAACCTTTCAAATGATAAATGGAACATGTAGCAGGCTGGTCTTTCCTCATAGGGCATAACATCAAATGTCAGTTTTTGATACACCTGCAAGCATGATCCATCATAAGCTGACATTTCAAATGGGAGAGGATCACTTCTGGTATACGATCAACTAGAATATCTGAAGAAAAGAAGAAAGTATAATGGCCTCACTTGCAGCTTTGCTTCTGAAACATAGTTGAGATTCTTGCGCAAAGATGTAACCTAATTTATTCTTCTCTTTTCCAGAATCTCGTGATGAAATCGTAATCGAGACTTGCAGCAGAGACTTTTCAGTGATAGATGCTTTCTGCTTACTCTTTCCTAAAGTGTAAAACATTGCAGCCATGAACTTACCATTCGTATAGGTTTTCAAAAGCCTGTTTTATTATTAGGTTGGCACATAAGTTTTGCAACTTTTATCATAACTTTCTTCTATTTCAGTGTAACATTCTCATTCTCTGGCTTTATGTAGAATGTGACGTGTGCTGCAAGTTAGTGCAAACCGTTTGATTACTGATAACGTAGTCGAAAAAATTTTAACATTTTTCAAAAACTTAAAAATCGAGGTTTCACGGTATTTTGGCAAACGTGAAGCCGTATAAAACATGAAACAGATGTATCAAAAAGGAATCATTGGCAGCGTGTAGCTTAAAGTTGACACATTAGAATCAGTAAAAAAAGAACTGAAATTTGAAGACAAGCTGATATAAGGCACTTTGAAGTAGAACAAGTCAAATCCGTCAAGTTTTGAAGGCAATCTGTCAATAACTAAGCTGCGAAACGAATTCGCTAAAATTTGCCCAATGGGGCAATCCATTACGGTAAACACCGATACCGTATTCATTTGTCGCTAAGATAACATCCATTTTTTGATCTTACGAAAGAGGCCTTTTCATGCAAAACTGGTCTCATTTTTGCATGTCGAATAACCCCCATAGGCCAAGCTCCAGCAAAATTTGACTCAATTTGAAATTTTTCCCATCGTACCGTAAACCTACCGTAATCCTTACATAATGGCAAAATTCGGCAAAAATGTCTGCATTTACAGTTCACATCATAATCCTTATATTGTCAGAAAATGAATGCGCTGCGGTCATAAGACAAAAGTTATATAAAAAGTTGCATTACTTAAGTGTCAACCTAATACTTTACCTTGATAGTAACGAAAAAACATGAATTTGAAAACTTTGGCATGTTCGAATTATATTGGCGAAAAGCTCCAACTGGTTTTGCACTTCAAGGGTATTTCGTATGAATAAGTCATGAATAATTGTCCTCATATGGCCCTCAAGCCTGGAACAGATTGATTCCTCAAAATTTTTTGTAGGAAAAGATGTCTGATCAATCCCGCCTTTTTTGCAGGTCAAAGTTGACAAAATTCGCTACTCGACTACCTCGTTTCTGTTTTCTATATGCGATGTGTGAACATACTAATTGTCTGTTGGATAGAAAATGAAAAGGGTTCTTAGTGTTTACTGAAGGTCCGCTTGCTAAATTCGAATTTATGCAAAATCTTGTTTTTGCACTTTGCTTCTACCAGGTTGTTACATAAGTTTTGCCACTTTGTCTTCCTCTGCAAAACTTTGAAAAAATCGGCAGGGCCTCATATTCGGGGCGATAAAGAGCCAGCTGACACCATTTGCACCACCACGACATTACTTACAGTGAATATAAAGGCAACTTTATTAGGCCACTTCAACCTCCAATTTTTTCTTCGTTTTTTAAAAATTCTCTCATAGTTCCTTTTCACCTTTTTTATATTTTTTATGGACTTATGAAAAGCACTGGTAGTGATACTAATTCAGTTTGAAAGTTTAAACTCTTCAATAATCAGAATTGGAAATTTGCCAGAAATATGATATTTGGAAAAAATTTCAAAAAATTCGAAAATTTATTTTTTGTGACATGTATATATCAAAAATCTGTAACACTATGCA